TTTAATTAGCATTGCAATATGGAACCAACTAAAAGTATGGTTGATCACAGCAATTTCTGGATCATATATACTTCATTATTTGGGATAGGATGCAATGGAGAAAGGCAGTGGCAAGTTATACAAAAAATATTAAAGGAAATATAGACTTAGGAAATGGCAGGGTCTTACTGCCTGGGAACTCTGAGCTAAATTAAAAAGCTCATGTTGATTTTTATTCTATAACTTTCCAAAGTGGGATAAAAACTCAAATCTAGTTTTATCTTTAGAAAAACACAAGCCCAACAATAATTTTTGTATGGTGAAGGATTTGACAAGCTTACACAGTAGGGCACATGGCCTTCCCCATTCCGCCCATGCTTAGTAAGAACCTTCTAAAATGATGGAGCCAAGGGTGGATACTGAAGAGAAAGTCTCATTCGGTGGTAGAAGGAGAGGGGTAACTGGAAAAGACTGTCAGTGTCCCCATTAGAAAGGTGAGGGCCAAAGGGATAGAATAAGAATCCTAATCCTTTCTCTCCTGCTGCAGCACAGGCGAATCATTTCACCTACATACAAGCCTTCTCAGACATGCTGCATCAAATTTTTTTTACATAAGTTGTGACAGCCTGAGTTTTCAGCCCAAGAGGCCAGTCTATTAGTGATGAACTTCTTTGTACTTAGATAGGCAGGTTCTCAAAATACAAATATGATCTCTTGCTGACACCATATTTGAAGACTTTACAATGCAGGAGAACTTTGGAAAGCATGTGTTGCAGTGGCTCATCCTTTGAGCACCCAGGAATCCCTCCATGCTAGAATGAGGAATTGGAGCTGGATTCCATGCAGTAGGCATGGAGTCAGGAAAGAGCGAGGGATAGTCATGTTGATTGTCTGCTTTGACCAAGACACATTGGGGTCCTATGTTCAGCTCTTGGACACCACGCATTAGGGATGATATTGACATGCTGAAGTATGTCCAGAGAGACTGGTCAGGCTGGTGAGAAGAATGAAAATCATTTCCTAAGATGATGAGTATGAGTAACTGGGGATGTGTACCCTGGAAAAGATATTATGTAGAAGGGAAATGATTGCTTTCTTCAAGTAGTTGAAGAGCTTTCATGTGGAAGAGGTCTTCTGCTTGGCTCCAGAAAACAGAATCAGGAGAATAAGTAGAAATTTGAGAAACAGATTTTACCTTGACCTGAGGAAAAACATTCTAATAATCAGATCTCTCCAAAACATGAATGATTTTCCTTCAGAGGTAGTAATTTTCCAATCACTGGGAAGGCTTCAGTAGGGGTAAATATTTTTTATACTTCTCCTTCTTTTAAGAAAAAAATTAATTATAAACTATAAAATCATTATCAGTTATTACTATTTTTATGAACAAAAAATCACAAAGGAATTTTGTATATGAAATTGTAAAACAAATGCATGTAGCTTCTTAGTATCTGCCATTCTTCGTTTCTCAGAAGTTAGTGTTTTTAAAACTCCAAGCCTTCAGAACACTAATCGAAATCAAAGTCCTTACTATTGCTCCTCTGTGCTTTGGATTTGTTGGGTGTCCTGACAAAGGGTCCTTGGTTCTGGGGTCTAGCACTGGATCAGCAATGAGTCTTTCCTGCCCATTTACAAATATTTAGAAGTATGTGCCCTCCAATTAGTCCTGTGGTAAATGTTACAGCTGTACATTTACAATCTGGGTGGTTGGGCGGTATAGTGGATTGAGAACTGGGTCTGAGGTCAGGAAGACCTGAGTTCAAATCTAGTCTCAGACATATCTTAGCTATATACCCTCGGGCAAGTTTCTTAACTTCTTTCTGCCTCAGTTTCTTCATCTGCAAAATGGACACAATAACAATGTGATATTACCTAGTCATTTGGGAAGACTTAAAGATCTGCTTTGAACAGTGCTTACAAATATAAAAAACAAGGTATTGGTATTACAGTCAAGATGCCATGCCCCTGCAAGGAAGGGAGAGACTATTCATTGCCTATGCTGCATTTGAAAGTGAACTTGGTAGAGCCAATGCTGTGTAGGAACTGCTTTAAGTATGAGCTCACTCTCTCAGGGTCTGAGGTAGTATAGGGGAGAGTATGCTAATGATCCACAGGGATGAGTTTATACCAACTTGTTGTGCTATATCTTTTCAAGAAATATCCATTAATAAAGCTAATTGATGATAATTTGTTAAATTATATTTGGTAACAAAAAACTATTTCAAGTGTTGATATTGGGTAGATATTAATTGGGAATGGAGATTGATAATGGGGAGAGAATGCCAGAATGGAAAGAGGGGTACAACACTATAATACATTGAGATTACTCCCACAGCATTGAGGGCAAATATAGTGAGCCCCACTCCATGGTCCCAACTCATTAGTGTATCTGTGTGTGTGTTGTGTGTGAGTTGGATAAATACCCCAAGAGCCTATGTGATCCTCACAATAAAAATGGAAATTATGAGGAAAAAAAAGAAAGTAGGACTAGCACTTTCAGATTTCAAATTATTCTATGAAATGATCATGATCAGATTACACTGTATAGTGATTATTTCATAAATGATGTCATTTTGGGGAAAGGTAGAACAATAGCACAGAATGGGAAAGCAGAATTATAATCAAAGTTAAATGCTAAACTAGTGCTTGGGGGGAAAAAAAAACAAATTACAAAGCAATGGGAAGGTGCTCATTTTTGAATGGTGGATGATGTCAGCCAGAAGGACTAATAGAAGCAGAGGAACAAAAATTAGGAAGCTGATAACTCAACTGGATTCTGCCTTGACAAGACCAGATATGGAATACCATGTTCAGACCTACTCTCCTCATTTTAGGAAAATCTTAAAAACATAGAAACATCTGGAAATGGTAACCAAGGTGGTGGTCAGTCAATAAGGATTTTCTGGGCTAACTCTATGCCAGTCTCTATGCTATAAATTGGAAAACAAAAGTACTTGCCTTCCAGGACCTCAGATTCTATTGGGAGAGATACCATGTAAATAAACAGCTATATATAAATTATAGGTGGAGTAAATGGAAAATCATCTTAGAGAGGAAGGTACTATTAGCTTGACAGGCCAGAAAAGGTTTCTTTTTTTCTTTTTCTTTTTTTTCTTTCTTTCTTTCTTTCTTTCTTTCTTTCTTTCTTTCTTTCTTTCTTTCTTTCTTTCTTTCTTTCTTTCTTTCTATCTTTTTTTTTTTTGAGGCAATTAGGGTTGTGTGACTTGCCCAGGATAACCTAGGTAATAAGTGTCTGAGACAGGATTTGAACTCAGATCCTGCTTATTCCAGGGCTGGCACCCTAGCCACTGTACAGAAAAGGCTTCTCACAGAATGTGGAATTTGAATTGTGTTAAGGAAAGCACAGCAAAATAAGCAACAAAGTGGGAGGAGTAAAGCATTTCAGGCCTGTGAGACAGGCAGTGTAAATGTTTGTGCAGAAAATAGAGTGTCAAGTGTGTGGAAAGGCAAATAATTCAATGTAGCTAGACTGTACACTGTGTGAATGTGAGTGAAGTGTAAGGTTGAAAAGGTAGGAAGTAGCCAGTTTGTGAAGATTTTTATTTTTCAAATGATTCTTTATTGAAATCTTTTGTTTTTACATGATATACATTTCTTCTAGTCTCTCTCCCTCTTTATCCCTCACAAAGAGTTATTATGTAGAAAAGGGAATACATTTTTACAGGTGTATTATGCCACAAAGGTAGTCCTTGATAAAAGGAAATTCCCTGCATACACCAAAATATTTCTAGACCACTTTTGTGGTAGCAAAGAACTGGAGAAAAAGCAAGGAAGAGAATAATTATTTTTCCCTTAAGTTAATAACCAAGTGTTACTTAAGATTATGGTTTTTGCTTTCTGTTTCCTCACTCAGAAAACAATGCCTGTGGATTATTCAGCAAGTCTCTGTAGGACATTGCTGATAGATAAGATTGCCCAAATTCTTGGGATACATACTTTTTGATCTTGAGTGGAATCCCAACCAACTAGAAGACCTTACAAACAGAATCCCGTTTAGGTGAGAACTTGCCCTTGGAAAATAAGCCGTTGTCTTTGAAACTTTTCATTAGAACTTAGGGTGAGCCAACTTATGAAGGGGAAAACTAGCCAGGGTGTTCTGGGTAGAGAGGAATACTTTTGTCCAGATTGCTAGAGGAGACTGAGTTTCATGATCAGGTCACATTCTCAGCAGGAGCTGAAGACTATTGCCCACCTCCTCATTAATATGGCCAACCTCTCATTGAATGTTAACCAATCAGAGTGGATGTCCGCCCTCAGGTCCATCCCCTTTTCGAAAGGATTTTTAAGCATTTGATGTTCTCCAAGGGGCACCTTTGGTTTCCAAGAGTATCATTGACCTCATCTTATTAATTTTTTACTAGGCATAATAAATCGATTGATTATTAAATACCCAGAAACTATGTCTCTCAGACTTTTCATTTATCACGGCAGAGGACCAGTGACTGAGCACTGGCAAAACAAATTGTGGCACGGGAACACAATAGAATATGATTATTCTGTGAGATATAACAGCTATGATTAATATAGGAACATAGCAATGATTAACTTGTTCTGTTACAGAGTCCCGATAGTAGAGCAAAGAACACAACACACACACAACGAACATAACAATGTAAATGGAAGGAACCGCCCCAATCAATCAATAGAAGATGAGTGTTGCAAGATTCTAAAAAAATAATCATGGACCCAAAGAAGAGGAATAAGGCACTTCTCCATACACCTTTCCAGAAGGAGAAGATCCATGTTTGTGGAACATTGCATGTATTTTTAGACCTTTGCAATTAACATTTAAATTCACAAATGTAACCCATCAAAAAGAAAATGCATCTTTTCTAAAACACAGTTGTTGGTATCCCTTAATCCTAACCATTATATCAGTAAAATAATAAAGGAATCTTAAAGGAAGGGAATGTTTCATTTTTTCTTTGTTTCACTGAAACATATCACAGTGCCTGACACAAAGTATGTACTTGATAAATACGCGTTGTATTGAGTTGAATTCATGAAAAAGGATATTTCCTAGGCAACAGTTTTTGCAAGGCCCCTTTTACTTCATTGTTCCTTAGACTGTAAATCAGGGGGTTCAACATGGGAATCATTACCATGTAGAAAACAGACACTACTTTATTTTCATCTGTTGAGTATCTGGACTTAGGTATCACATAAATGAATGTAATGGTGCCATAGAAGAGAAGGACTGCTGTGAGGTGGGAGGTGCAAGTTGAGAAAGCTTTTGATCTCCCTTCAGTGGACCTTATCTTCAGGACACAGGAGAGGATGTATACATAAGTGATTATGATAATTAACATTGTGATCATAATTATTGACCCAGCAGAGGCAGAAGGAAGAATTTCAGCAACATCATCTTGGGAGTAGGAAAGCTTCAAAAGTGGTGAATAATCACAGAAAAAGTGATTGATCTTATTGGGTCCACAGAAGGACAGATTCAATAAGCAACAAGTAAATATCCAAGCATTTACACAACCACCCAGGTAGGATGTGATGAGGAACAGTGTGCAGACCCTAGCAGACATTTTGGTGGAGTAGTGTAGAGGGTTAGAGATGGCCAAATACCGATCATAGGCCATCACAGCCAGCAGGAAGCACTCAGCGCTCCCAAAGCTGACTACAAAGAACAGTTGGACCACACAGCCTTCAGGAGGGATTATAGTTTTGTCCACAAGGAAGTTTTTGAGCATAACAGGTGTGACAGATGAGGAATATCCAATATCCACAAATGCCAAGTGACTGAGGAAAAGATACATTGGAATGTGAAGCTGAGAGCTATTTCTGATCAATGTGATTATGCTAAGGTTACTAATTAAGGTGACAGCATAGACACCTAGAAACATCACAAAGAGGATGACACGAAGGGTTGGATCATCTGTTAAGCCCAAAAGAATGAATTCAGTCACAGTAGTGCAGTTATTGCCAGACATCTGTCTTGGAAAGAAAGCCTGTTAGTCAGAAAAAAAGGAGATTAAAATAGAATTCAGGACTAAGATTTGGATAGTTCTACTGCTGTATTGAGGAAACATTCACTGGTCACCTCCTACATGCCCATCCTACTATCATGCTCTCCTACTTTGTTCCTGTTCATCATGGCAATGTATCCATAAGAAAAGGAGAGATGAATATATTTTTGTTGCTTCCAAATTTTTTTTCCTGGACCAACAATACTGTGTGATTGGCCAACTTTGCCATTGTGAGAATGTGTGAAAAGGCTGTAAGAGTGAAGAGGATTATTTAGTCACATCATAATCATATGATATTTGATCATATTGTACCTTTCTTAACTATATGCAGACTATATCCAAATGTGTGAATGCTATTCTGCCAACTAACTAACATTGTTAATCCCTTCCAAAGAAATAGAATCTGCTCTATGCTCCTTCACATCTCACAGGACCACTTTCCACATCAGGTTACTTGACTATGAGGAAAATTCTAGTTGCCAATATAAACCTTATGTTCTATAATCACAAGAGAAGAAGAATCTCAACTCTGGGCCTTCTCAATATATTTTTTTCATGAGGTAATTCGGATTGTGACTTGCCCAAGTCGCACAGTTAGCATCAAGTGTCTACGGATGGATTTGAACTCAGGTCCTACTGAATCCAGGGCCACCTCTCTATCCACTGCACTGCTTTGCTTCCCCACTCCTGTGTATTTTTCTGCAAAGAGGAATCATTAAGCTAGACATTGCTAGCCTGAAGGACTAGTGAAAATTTTCCATCAAAATGCTGTTGTTTCTAGGTAAAACAATGGAAAACACTTGCTCAACTGCTGTCACCATTTCCTGTTTTCCTGTCAGGTCCTTCAATTGCAGAATAGCTGAGCAAATTCTAGTATAGAAAAACAGTGGCAATTTATGTGTCATAAGAAGTGAGGAGTAACACCACTTTGGAGTAATATGGAAACACTTTCATTAACTAATGCAGAGTGAACTAAGTAGAACTAGAATAACAAAGTATATGATGACCACAATAATCATGAGAGGGGAAATCACTTGAAAGATCTCAGAACTTGCAACAAAATAGCAACAAATCACATCATCATAAGAGTGATGAGCAAATATCATCCACCACTTCTTGGCAGAAATGTGATGGACTAGAGGTGCAGAGTGAGACCTGTATTCTCAGACATGCTGAATTCATTGATTTAGTTTCCTTGACTATACAGATCTCTTACAAGGGAGGGCTTCCACTGTGAGTGGCAAGAGAAGTAGCTGACTGGGTAGTGACAGAAATGAGTGGATGAAGGGAACAAGAATAAAACATTTTCAAAATGCTCAATAGGAAAAAGGAAGTACAGTTTTACATCTGCATATACATGTATGTATGTATATATGCATATATATACATATACATATACATATGTATGTGGCATTTCCTTTAAAGACCAAATTATCATGAAATGTTTGCATTAGTAAATACTTGTTAAATTCCAAATGCAAGGAATTGTCTTAAATATTACTTTTCCTGAAATATTCTCATCACTCCCAACTCTGAACTCATTTTTCTTCTCTTCTCAAGCTAGTAAAAGATAACATAAAATATTGAGATACTGTTCGTCTCAGAGAAGACTCTGTCTATAACACTCATTTATGGCTCTATGATTCCACTCTTTCTTTTGACCCCAAGAAAAGAAAGAATGCCTTAGCTAAATAAAAATGTGTAGAGTGATGAGGCAATTTTTCAACACCTTCTGCTTCCCACTTTCCTCTCAAGAGAGGACTTTGGAAACTACTTCTCTGACAAAAGAAAGACTGTCCCTGTGGGATCCCTTTTCTTTCCTCTTCTACAATTCAATATTCATCAATATCATCCCCCTATTGTCTTTGCAGCAATCTCTGAAAGAGAGAGAGTCCTTCTTTACTCCAGGGCCAATTCTTCAATTTGTTCCATTGATCCCATCCATCCTATCTCAACCTTGAGCTTCTCCCATTGAAAACTACCCTATAAGCTTTAAATGTTTTATCTATAGGCTTTTTCCCTTCTTCCTATAGATATGCTGACATAAACCTTTAAAATCTTTCATTTGACCCTGACATTCTTTCAAGTTATTGTACTACATCATGTCTTTCCTTGTCAGCTCTCAGGGGGAAAAAATCTACTTTTTTGAGTCCACCTATTTTTCTTGTACTCACTTGGTAAAACATTCTAATCTGGTTTCTGACCTCATCATTCCACTACAAACATTCTCTGCAAAGTTACCAATAACTTCTAAATCATCATGTTTTTGTAATATTCTTTTAGATCCATAGATGTTAGGGATTTTTTTAAACATTGTATTTGTATCATTAGCACTAGGAAAGTGGTTGAAAAATAGTAAGTGCTTATTAAACATTTGCTGATTGACTAATTGTTTCACTTTTTGCAAGCAGGTGACACAGTGGACCATCTACTCTTGCTGGATACTTTTTCCTCATGATTTTCAGGACACTGATCTTCCTGGTACTAGTATTCTCCTACCTGTCTGACCTTTCCTTCTCAGTCTCCTTTGGCAGATTATTAATCCTGTACTGTCTCCTAATCATAAATGTTCCCCCAGGCTCTGTCCTAGACCCTCTCTTCTTTTTCTTTGCCTTCTCAAGGAATCCATTAGCTTCCACTGCCACATCTCCATCCAAATGAATCTTAAGTCAATAAATCCAGCCCTGAACTGAATCCACCAATCACTGATACTTGGACATTAGTAACTAGATGTCCCCAAAGCATTTGAAACTCAACAAGTTCAAAAGAAAAATCATCTTATCCCAAACATTCAACCTAAAACCACTTAACTATAATAATTATTTTTCTATTGGAGGTCTCATCATCCTTCCAAGAAACTTCATCTGTGATCCTGAAATCAATCTCTATTTTTCTCTCCATCTTCCATTTCCTAACCAGTCAGCTGCGAAGTCTTGTCACTTCTTCATCTACAACATGTATCTCATATCCTCTCATGTCCTCTTAAATAGCCATCATCCTAACTCAGGTTTGCATTTCCTCTCACTTGGATTATTGCAAAAGCCTCTAAATTAGAAGTCCATTTTCTCCTTCCTCTAAACTATCCTTTAATAACGTACAAAAATGATCTTCCTAAAATACGTGAGTAACCATGTCACTCAAGCCATGAACACATCCCGTATTGCCTAGAGAACAAAATCACAATTCTTCAGCTTGATATTTAGAGTCCTGCACAACCTGACTCCAGTCTCCTTCTTTAAATTTATTTCACTTTGTTCCCAGCCATATACTCTACATTCCAGCCATATACTCTACGTTCCAGCCCAGCTAGCCTGCTTTCTGTTCCCCAGACTCAGAATTCTACCTTCACCTCTGTCCCTCTGCTCAGGCCATCCTCCATGCTCCAAATGCCCTACCTCATCTCTGCTTCTTAGAATCTTAAGTTTCCTTCATGGCTCAGCTAGAGCGTCACCACTTATGAGAAGCCTGGTATCTAAAACTATCCCTCCTCAAATTATCTTGTATTTACTTCTTTGCTGAAATATGTTATCCCTTTGTCTCCAATAGAATGTAAGCTCTCTGAGTTTAAGGACTGTTTTGCATTTTTTCCTTTTCTATCCCCAGTGCCTTGGACAAGGCTCTGTGCATAGTGGGCAGAGAAAAATATTCATTCAATGGGAGGCACCAACTCTCATATGAAAACCTTAAGTCTCTTTTACATTGGTAACATAATCATAAGTGGATAACATGAATTCTAATGACTCAGTACACAGCTTAAATTTCATAAACTACTTTTCTCCCACAAGTTGAAGGGGAAAATATTGTTATTGTCATTTTAAAGATGAAGTAACTGGGCATCACAGAGGTGCAGTCACTTGTCCACAATCAGAGGCAGAGCCAGTAACACTCAAATGTGAGGTTCAAGTCCAGCTCTACTGATTTCAAATCCAATTCTCTTTCTACCACATCAACCAACAAATACATCGTAAAATTCCTCCAGCTAAACCCACAATCTAAGAAGTGGGGGAAAAGTAATACAGCAAACAAATGTACCTATGTATACCCAGAGATCTTTACCTAAGGGTTTCTTATATAACCATGTTCTATTAAATACTTACTGTTTGTGGTGATGTTTCCGGTTGTATGATATGACTTACGGTAGATCACAATTTACTTACTTACATGCTGTAATAATATTACAATCATACAGCTCACTTACAAATCTTTGATTTTATGTGGCCCTACAAGCTACCAGATACATGACCCAAATCAGGAATGAATCTTACACATTAAGATAGGGGCAGGTGGAGATTAAAATCCTATGCAAAACTAAAATCAATATAAAGTTTGGCATATCAAGAAGAATAAATAGGCCCTCTTGAACTGAGCTACAAATCAAAAATCAGAGCTAAGTATTTTTACAGATGAACCAAGAACTGCAGTGGTACCTATTAAAAGAAGATGACAACTTTAGACTCCAAGGAACTATCTTTGCACAGTAAGGAAACATATTTTGTTTTGTAACATTTGGGATTTAGACCCTTGAGTACCATAACACCAAACATAGTTGACATCATCAAAATGCCATTTGAAATCCACTGGGATTGAGAAAACTACTAACACAGAGATGAGTTGTTTAAGAAGTTCTCCAAATTCTCAGGGGCCTTCTTTTATTTTCTTTTGTCTATATTTATCTAGGATTGTTATAAATGGAAAAACAAGATTGGATAGCAATATAACCAATCTAGTAAGTATGATCTGCTATGGAATCTCTCAAAAATTATTATGGAATCAATTTGTTGCAATTATCATTGTGACAATGTTCACTAGATGAAAATTGATTCTCATCACATCACCTGATTCATTTTGCTTCTATCATCATTTAACTTTCTGCAATGGAAATTAGCAGTTATGTTGTTGATATACTTAAGAAATTTCAAGAACACCTCAGAAATCCCAAACTATATTTTTTTAAAGTATCACAGAAGAACTTTGAAAATCTTTTCAATTACATAATTAATCATCTGATTTTGTTGCTTTCTCAAACTTTT